AATACATGGATCGAATTCACCTTCTTCACGGTCTCCCTCCGCCAACCTCAGAGACTGAGTTTCACTGCCAGAGGTCCATGCTTGGCACTTGCACCTCAACGTCGTCATTGTCGTCGGAGTTTCCAGCATTTAGACGGCAGGAGGACGTCTGGTATCCTGACTACATGCCTTCATCGGCATTGGTAGAAGAGGTTGGAGGACCGCCACCCAATAATACGACCCCTGCACCCACCGCCGCAGCCTCTCTACCAAGAGATTTGCTCCTACAACATGCGCTTATGCACATCCCTTCGTCCATTGCCCCAGTGCCTCCCGGCACCTTTAGCATTACAGAGCTGATCCGACAGAACCACCAGCAACAGCAACACATTTTCTCACGAGCCATTTCTCCAGGCGAGGTGGACGAACCGTTGCGACATCAAAGTCTTGACGGTATGGCTTACGACCACGGTGATGAAACCACCGAGGACGGCTATAGGTTTGAGCATAGTAAGTCTAATAGCCATCATAGTAGATGAGAGTATCAAAGTCTTTAGCATAATGTGAGTAAAATGGCGAGAAACTTTCGGCAACACAAGATGGCATTTGAATTCCGAGACAAGAACTACTGACTCCTGAGTCGCAAAGCAAACGAAACGTTTTACATTCCCGATTACGCGCCAAGTCAGTAAGCATGTAATCCGAATGACATGTTTAGGGCTGGAATGCAACAGAAAAACTGCGTGTACATTTGCATGACAATCTCTTACCTCTCTCATTGGGAAACGTTATTAGCAACCTTGAAATAGATCTATCCGGTACGATCATGGTTCGAAAGTGCCGCACTGGCAGCTGCTACGAAGAAATAGAGCACAAAAGGTAAAATCTCTATCCTACATCAAATTAATTCCCAAATATGTATTTACTCAATTAAATCCAAGCACGTGGCAGCATTAACAATTACAAGGCGGTCAGCACTATAACACGTCCCTTAGTAGTCGGACTAATAGTTTTGCTTGAAGAATATTTGTTTCTAAAATCACAAGCTATAGTTAAGAACTATTTTATGCAATCGCATGTCTCAACACTTCTCATATGGCTGAATTTAGGGAAAAAATTATGTAGTATGTAAAAACTAGAGCTGTAAGAGACAGGGAAATTAGTAAACATCCCGCTGACTACGTCGCTTAGGATTTGAATGGCATTTCTCATTTTCGCTAAACTGCGGGTGCAAGCACTCCCCAACTCGCATTTCCTGTTTCAGTGTTACTCAGCTAGCTATTCAAAATCAAGTAGTTTATGCGTATGTCATGCGGGCAACCAACAAACAACTGCATTTAAATATTCCGAATTGTGTAGTGCTGAATTTTATGCTATAAAACACCTTCTGTAAACCCTTTAAAAATATATTTTCACCACACTTCGCAGAGCAAGACTGAATATTTTCCACTCAGCAGTTGTTAAAAAATTAGCTCAACTTTTGAGAAACAAGTGTTCTTTTACTTTTGACTACCGAGAGGTCGACGAGACGCTAATTCACACTTTATTAGTCTTATCCAACAACTGGGGACATATTTTCTTCCTAGAGTGACCACGATCCAGCCTGAGATTTTGTTAGGGTAATAAAGAAAGTGATGAAATTACCGGAAACAGTAATTTGGTAGAGGGAGTACACATTTGAGGTAGACAGTCATCGAAGTTCCAAGACAGAATTTCGGTCACATAGATTAGACATGACATGTGTGTTCGTTGGCATCAAGATTGGTTTGGGTGCACACGTTGATGCACACACATCATCATAACCTTCTACCTTTTGGCTCAGGCTGGGTTTATCTTCACCTTTTTAATTTGATGACACTGAACAAGATTTTTTGATGACCGTTGCACTTGGACCACATGAGAATGATGCTACTCAGCATGTACTCGATAATGGGATTTCTCTTTCCCACCAGACTTACCCAGGAGTAGGAAACAAATTTATGCAACATCTTTTCGGTCCACTTCGAGCAGCGGTCATGTACGAAGGAACCAGTTAATTTCCGGTGATGGCGTGTTCCCCATTCCCAAGAGGGAAGCAAGAGAGGCAAAGGTGTGTGTGGGGTGATGGGGCGGGAAGGGTCACAAAGACGTTCTCCCGGGGGATAGGAAGCTGCTACTGCTAGTGATGTGTGCGTATGCGCACGCGTGCATTTGCTTGTCTTCACCAGCTGGCCGGACTGTATCCACGATAGCAACTCGGCCGGCCCGCTGATCAAAGGCGGCGCAAGGCAGATGCAGTGCAAGTGATTAGCTATTCTGCAATCCTCAGGAGTCGTTTTTTGTATTAACAATTCAGACACCTTGGAGGCATGTCTGAACCCTGAATGGACATCATGAGTATGCTTATGTATACGCGTGCTGTCCATCACTAGCATAAAGTGAAAATTTTTCCAAGAAGTACTGTATAATTTGTTTCTTATCATGAATTGCAAGCCAACCAGTTGTATGAGTTTGTTGATTACACGTTTCTAGAGAAAAGACACAGGGAAAAGTTACATTATGTACATGCCTTCTTATGTATTTTGCTTGCTTCAGAATCCCTAAGGCTGGAACCAAAACAGCACGCGCCCCTAAAGGAGGTGGATTCCAAAGCAAATCATGAAGGTGCAAACCACCACTTGCTTCAATTCTGTCCTAATATAACAGGGGTTCTCAACAATGGTGGTGG